TGTCTTCGTAATTCCCTCCTCCCCCCCCCCGCCTTCTCTCCCCTTGAAACACCTGATACTCAGGCTATAACGTGATCAAACAAATTGCTTTTAATGGGTAGCATCACGAAATTTGGCGAAACCCATTGAAAAAATTCATATTTTTAAGTTCTAAGATACATGTGCTGTCGGAGCTTAGCGTTTGTCTTTGCCCTCCAGAAGATGATGAAAATGACGAGAACACAAAAACAAAAGTAGTAAACAGGGAGGTTTATCGGCCGTTTAAAGTACCAGCTAAATACTAGCTATTTTGTGCCTCATAAGTAATGCGTGGGTGATGAGTAAACGTCTTCAGAATTCATGCAGAATAACTAAGCAATGAGGAGATGATAGAGACTAGGCCTTGGCGGATTGTGCTCCTAAAAGTGGCATATTATCCTACTAGCGGTGCTCGAAATTTTGCCAAATTATGCCAAAATTTTGCCAGAATTCCCAAATTATGCTCCTGATTTCCGAAATTATGCTCACAAATGACGTAGATTCTCTACATATAGGCGCGCAATAACGACACCAAATTATGATGTTTTTCAAATAAACTGTTGTTGTAAATTTAGAATATAGTACTATCTTGATTTAAACTAACTCAAACTATAGCGAACTACAACGTTGAAAGTGTCAAGCCACGAAGTCAATCAACTTATTTTGTCTTGGCAGTTCTGAGTTCTTTCAGCACCAATAATTGCTTGAATAAACATGGATAAGAATAGTGTACACAAGTCAACATCAGCAATTATATTATTGTCAGTACTGCAACATTACGCTGGCCTGGAGATAGTCTGCCAGAGTGCTGTTCTGCTGATCGCTAAATGCCGCTGAGAGTAGGGAGAAGGCTCGCTTAGCTGCAGCAGAGGAAGGCTGCACCAATAGAACCTGCTTCCCTGCGGCTGATTTAATTTTTTATTTCTGTAGGTAAATACACCATGTTTACTAAATTTTATGAATTTATGGTCCAAAAAGTCCTAAAATTTGCTAATTATGCCGTGGCAGTGGTCGTTTAAAAATGATGCTATTTTGCTCCAATTATGCCAAACATTTTGCTAGCACAATCCGCCAAGGCCTAGTCTATGGACCG